AATACGAATTTTGTGGAGAGATGAGGTGGTGGGGAGGGTGGATTGCACAACCAGAAGGCTGGAGGATAGGCCCCGAAAACAGGAACCAGTGAAGGCTGGCGGCCCAAGAATGCAGCTGAGAATGCAGCCCAGGTCAGGCCTCAGGAGCTGTCCGGCTGCGGGCGTTTGGTGCTTTCCATAATTTCTCAACAGTTCTAAAGGATTTCTAAACTTCGCGACTCTCCTCAAGGGGCAGCGTGGAGAGTGGCGATTCCGATTGGCTAGTCTAGGCCACGTGCTGCACCCAGGAGGCGGGACCCGGGAGGACCTACCCTTCAGTTTCAGCAATTAAAGAGGGGCCTGGTCCATCCCTGGCATCCTCCCAACCCCCACTCAGAAGGAGAAGAGGGGTTTGCACTGCTGGGGCCTGGGCAGTGAACATCCGTGTGGCTCTTTACTGCTGTCAACGTGCTTTCACTCCACCCCTGGAGGAAGGCTGGCTGGACTGCACGATCTCCCTGAGGGAAGTGGAAACCCAAGCTCAGAGAGGTTAAGCGATTTGTCCAAAGCCACAGAAGGTGGTGAGAGGCGTCTCTTGATCACACTGTCCACCTTCCTCCATGCTGCAGGTGCCTGGGGCGGGGCGGATGTTTTCCAAGGAAAGGGAGGAGAGGAGAACCCCAGGAGCCCTGGGTGGGCAGCCCTGACCTGCTTTGACAGAGGGCATCCCTAGCCAGGGAGAAATGCTCGAATTCCAGGGGTTAATCCGGCTGGTCCAGATGAAAGACGGCGTTCTTTCCCCACCTCGGAGCCTCCAGCCTTCCTTTGGCTGCTGCTCCTGTAGAACAGCAGGGCTGCTATCACCTCCGGGATCGTCTTTGCTCCCGCTGTTTCCTCCACCTAGACCGTCCTTCTGCTTTTGCTGCCTTTGGAACTCCTGATCTTTGCAGCAAAGTCAGCCCCTCAGTCCCCTTGTCCCGGCAGCCTTTCTGGACCCAACTTTCTTGGAAACCTGTCACTTCGCTCTCCTTTGGGCCACCGCTCTGCTTTGCCGCTTCCCTTGCTAGATTGTAATTGATTTCTAGGTCTGCCTCTCTCCTAGACTGGGAGTGCCTCTAAGACAGGGGCTGGATTTTACTCGCATCTGTGTCCGCAGTGCATGGTGATGGCTCGTTCCGCTCATGCCCATGCCCCTCTCTCCTCTACTGTGCTCTGGATCCCAGCAGAGCTGCTGCTGCAGGCTGGACTTCTCAGACTCCCGGGTCTGCCGGCTTCTGGCTGGGGTCAACCAAAGGGAGGACCAAGGGGGAGGGTAGAGGGCTGGGGGAAGGGAGAAGCCAAGGTATCCTTTCTTCACACTGGGCTGCAAGCAGCGATTGGTGGTAGCGGCATCCTCAGCCCCCACCAGACAGATCCTCCACGGCTCCATCTTCCACTGCGTGATCCTGAGCCTGGTAACACTGCTTCCTCCTCCTGTCCCGCCAGCCCAGGGCTAGGACAGCAAGTTCTTGCTGTTGTCGACCTCTGGGTTACCTTGCCATTCCCCATTTGAATTCTCAGCTCTTTCATCACTGTGCGGCCAAATTCACTTTGAATTCAGAGTGCGTCTAGGGGCTGGATGCACCGTGCTGGACATCCCCGCTTCCTAGCATAGAGGTCCTATGAAAAGAAGTATGGTGCCCACAGCAGAGGAGGTGACGGTCTCCCTGAGCTCAGTGCTGTTTTGCTCACATGTAAAATGATTGTAGACAGTTTGGGGAGTCACTTTAAGACGGTGGCAAAGCAGAAAGAAAGAAGGTTTTAGGGTTGAAGAAACTCCGAAGAACACCCCTTCTCGCACTTTTATTTTGTGAACGAGGAACATGAGGTGAAGAGGGGCCTGGCGTCCATCGAGCCAGCGAGCAGTCTCGCATTCACCAGAACGTCCCACTGCTGGCCCTACCACCTTGCCTAAAATGTGACTATCTGAGACCTACTACATCCCCAGTTCTGCCCTTTCCGCTCAGGCCCCAGACTCACGTGCCCGATGGACTACTTGACATCTGGGCTCAGGCGTGGCATAAGCTTCTCACTCAACACATACTCATCCTGCCATGGTGGCCCTCCTCCCACACTCCCCAACTCGGGGACCACCACCCTGTCCATCTGCTTCCACAAGCTAGAAATCCGGGGTCTCCTTGACCCCTAAATTATGTCACCCCATGATGGCTACCTCTCCTAGTCCTGTTGATATTTTTTACCTCCTGAATGCCACTTCTCTCCACTTCTGTCACTACCACCAGGCCCCAGCCTCTTTCATCTAGACAGCCGCCATAGGCAATACACACGTGAGCTCTGGGAGGGCAGGGACTGTGTGCAAGTGTGCGTGCGTGTGCCTGTGCGTTTTGTTCACTAACATAGTCTAAGTGTCTAGATTCTCAGGGGTGAGCCACCTTTCTCTGCAAAGGGCCATAGAGTAAATATTTTAGGTTCTAAGGGCTGCATGGGCTCTGCTGCGACCCTTTAATTCTGTAGCTATAGTGTAAAGGGGGCCGTAATTAGCATGTTTGTGTTTCACTGTACCTTTAAGTTACAAAAACGAGAAGCAAGATGGATTTGACCTGAAGGGGGCAGTTTGCTTACCCCCGATCTAGAAAAGTTCTTGGCACACAGTAGATGATAGATAAATATTTTTATTGTTCTAAAGTTCATTTATTTATTTTGAGAGAGTGAGAAAGCACAAGTGGAGGAGGGGGAGAGGGAGAGAATCCCCAGCAGGCTCTACACTGTCTGTGCAGAGCCCAACACGGGGCTCCAGCCCACCATCAGAACATGACCTGAGCTGAAGTCAGATGCTTAACCCACTGAGCCACCCAGAACTCCAGTAAATATTTTTAAATTGAATTGGTCTCTTACCATTCAGTGCCTCCCAATTAATTCCCCATTTTTCCAATCATAAATCAGATCATGACACTCCCATCCCTTAACTTCCACTCCAACCACCTGCTTCAAAGCCTCCGCTCTTGGGATAAAGATCAAACCCCAGTTACAGCCAACACGCCCTGAACGGTCTGGCCGTTGCTCCCACTCGGGCTCCATACTCGCTGTCCTCCTCACCATCTCAGCACCCTGGTTCTCTGGCCTCCCTTCCTTCCTTCCCTCCCTTCCATATGCCTGCTTCTTCTCACCACAGGGCCATTGTGTATGAGGTTTCTCCTGCCTAAAGCTTTCTCTCTCTGTTGCTCATCCTTCAGACCTCAGTTCTGCGTTACCTCCTCCAAGAAGTCCTCCCTGACCCCCTCGGCCAGGTGCCATGAAAGCCCTCATCTTTTTAGCAATGATTCTGGCTGTAATTCTAGCCGGTTATGTGTTTCATTGACTAAAGGCTGGTCCCCCCATTAGAAGAGCTCCTCCATCAGGCACAAGGACCAGACCCATTTTATTCCCCATCATATTCCGGGAACCTATGTCTGTTAACTAGCACAGAGCAGCAACTGCGAATGAATGAGTGAATGGTAAAGTACCGAAGCTTTGGGGCCAGACAGATTCCGGGTTCAACACCTGACTCTACCACATGGGCAAGTCACTCACCTCCCTAAAGCCTGTTTTCTCACTGTAAAACCAGGCTAATGACAAGACCCACGAGAAAGGCTGTGCGGAGAACGGGAGCAGAGTCTCAGCCCAGAGCCTCGCTCCAGGCAGCTGTTGCCAATATGCTGACTGCAATAGTGACGGGTCCAGAAATCGTGTCATGTGATAAACATTTAAAAGAATTCAGAATGTTGAGCCTGGTAAAGTAAAGATCAAGGTCAAGGAATGACCCTCTTCAGCTACAGTTCCTGAATCGAATACGACTCCTCTCCAATCCAGCTGGCTGGAAAAGTCATTAAGTCTCCATCTCTATAGGTGGGCAAAAAGAAGCGGGGGGTGGGGGGGTGGGGGGGAACCGTTATTGCAGAATGGTCTGCTGTGTAAGTGAGGGTGTTCTGGTGACCTCAAGGCCCTCTTCCAATCTAGGGTCCTTCATCTGTAAGCACCTGGGGGCATTCTGAGCTCGAAGGAGAGAGCCGGCGCCGGTGGGAGCACATGAGCAGCGTGGGCAAAGGCAGCTGGTTGGGCCAAGCCGCCTCAAGCACCAGAGCGGTTCTGGGAGCAGAGAGGGGGCGCTTAAAGCCAACAGATGGCGCAGGCTCACCTAGGCCGTGGGCCGGCTCGCTGGCTCCGGCTTCCCAGGAGCCTTTCCCGGTTCGGCCGGAGGCGCGGAGCCGGCAGGAGGCCCACCAGGCCCCCACCCCCCTGCGCGCCCCTCTCTGGGAGGGCGGACGGCCCTGCGGGGCAAGGCTCCAGCACGCACCTGGGGCCGCTTCCGCGGGCGTCCTCCCTGCCCCTCGGGGGGATTCGTCGAGTTGCTACAGCAGCCAGTGCCATGACATCGGCAGAGGGCAGCTTCGCCAGCACTGAAATATTCATGCCCTGAGCGCCCGGCCGGCCTTCGCGCGGCTCCCGGGGGTCGGAGCGGGGATCCGGCAGGGGCCACGGCGATCCCGGAGCGCAGCCTGGAAGGGGTGGGCGGCGAGGCGCGGCCCGGCAGGCGGGGGCCGGGGAGGAGGGAGCGCGGGAGGGAGCGTCAGGAGGCGGGGTCTGGGTGGCGGGGGCCGAGCGGGGCGGAGGAAGCGAGGGAAAGTTGATCGCAGACTTGAGCGGCGGCGGCGGCTCGGGAAGAGAGGGGCGCGGGCTGCGCGGCGCGATGCTCCGCGAGAAGACGCGTCCGACGGCGGCCGGGCGCTGAGCCGGGCGGGGCGGGGCGGCCCGACCCCGGGCATGGAGCGCGGGGGTGCAAAGCCTCGGGACGTTTGGGGCGCGCCTTGTCCGAGCCCGCGGCGCGCCTGAAGTTGCAGGCGGCCAGCGGCGGGCGGCCGGCCCTAGGGGACGCTGGAGCGGCGGGCGTGCCGAGGGTGAGCCTTCGCGCCGGCGGCGAGACGCGGCGGTGTCCAGCGGCGGAGCAGGCGGCCCGTGGGGGCCGACCCGGCGGAGAGCAGAGCCCGAGGCGCGACGCGGCACTTCTCCGCACACGCACACGGTACCGAGAGCCGCGCACCGCCCCTTCCCTCCCCGCTTCCCTCGCCTTCTCCGCGCCGTTCGCCCGCCACGCGGTGGGAAACTTGGAGCCGTGGGGTCGCGACCGCAGCCGCCGAACCACTTGTTCCCGGCACGGCCATCGCCCGCGGCGAGCGCCCGGGGCCTCCTTCCATCCCCCGCCTCTGGCCCGTGTCCTGCGCCCGCTGGCAGCCCGCGGGCCGACGCGCGCGGCAACTTTGATTCCCAGGAACTCGAATTCCCGCCGGGTTGGCCTGGGGGGGAGGAGGGTTTGGGGGCGACAGGCATTGCACTCCTCACCCGGCTCCTGGACATTAGGTCGCTTTGGTCTCCTCGCCCTAGAGAGGGTCTGGTCTGGGTCCGGGGTGGGGAGAATTTCGGCGGTAAAGAGGGAGTTGGGATCCCGATCCTGTTCCCTTCGCGCTCTGGGTCCCCGTTTGGACAGTGGAATGGGGTGGGGCGCACCGCCACCGCGGGATGGGCAGTGGCGCTGGAGGGAACTACAGTCACGTAGCTCTGCCCTACCCTCGTCGCCTCTCGGTAACCGCGAGAGACCCCAGAGGACCCCCACAACCTTCCCAAACCGATCTGGCTTTGGGAAAACGCACCCCTTTGGGGAGCCGGGAGCCGAGTGCGGCTTGCACTTCGCTTCCCGCGTCAGTCCCCTGGCAGGTCCTCCACCGACGGTGCTGGCTGTCCCTGGAGGCCTGTGCTCGGGATCGCTGCCCCTTACCTCCCCTGCAGGTCAGCCCGGGACGCGCGGAGAGCCTGCGCGTTCTGAGGTGGTGGCGGCATCAGCCAGTGAGCTCGCAGTACCTTGCTTGCCGTGCACCTAGAGTCACTGCCTGTGTGCTCAGAGCGGAGATCCGGTGCCATCGCCGCTGGCTACCGCCCCACTGCGACCCCAGCCCCCCAGCCCTGGTGTTGTCAGTGGCCCACTGGGGACAAATTAGCCTTTCCTGAGTAGTAACACGCCTCTGCCCTTCCTAGTCATTCAGGAAGCAGCTCCTGCCTCTTCAGTGTACTTTGCCCTCTTAGACCAGAGGCATTGACCCTTGCCGTTCAGGCAGTTAGCGAGAGCCCCCACCCCAATTTGAATTTTGAAATAAGCTGAAGGGGCACGTGAGGATTGGGTGTGCCTCTCCGCGGGTGTATTGCATGGAGTCAGACCCTTGCCTGGGTGGGGGTGGGTTTCAAGAGCCAGGGTTGGAGCCAGGTGCGAGGTGCTGATGAGTCAGCCCGTGGTGGGGAGAGCTGGCATGGAGTTAATGTTCGGGTCACGATGCAGGGGTAGGCGCACTGCGGCCAGCACCCACGGGGGTGGGGGACTAGAGGTCGTTCTGGGGGAGGAAGGGCCAGGAGTTGGGGGAGGGCTCAGCTGGGAACAAGAATGCTTGAGGCTGGTTCCCTCCACCGGGCTGGAGATGGTCAGAAAGCAGAGGACCTGTGTGGCAGTGGGTGTGAGTACCCCATGGGGTGGAAAGGTGGCACTGCGGAAGTGATGGGTGTGAGCTGAGTGAGGGAGTGTGAGGCCTGGAGCTGGCATCCTGGCCTTGTCTGGGCTGGGCCCCCATAACATGTCTGTCTTGGCCTTCCCGATCCGCCAACAGCTGGGCTCCTCACATCTGCCTCCTGGGGGCTAGATTTGAGGGTTACGTTGGCCTGGTCCTGTTTGCCTCGCAAACAGCTCTCTCTTCCAACAAGCTACCTTACCTGCAATCTCACCATTTAGGGTTCATTTCTTTGAGCTTAATATTTTAAAGGGCGTCATTCAGAAGTCCTTGCTTTACATGCACATACTTCTGGGAGGCGAAGGCCTGGTGGAGCCTGGCTGTCCCAAGGGTGGCCTGTGGACCTCAGGATCAGGATCACCTGGGGGCTTGGTAGAAAGGCACACTCTTCGGCCCCGCCCCGGACCTCTTGAATCAGAATGTGTATTTGACAAGATTCCTGAGTGATTTGCTCAGTAAAGCTTCAGGAGCCCCGGTCCACAGTATCTTCCAGGGAAATGACCATTTCACAACCTTTTGGTGCAGAAAGAGTGTCATATAGGGCAGCGGATCAGAATGTGAGTTTGAGAATGAGGCTGGAACTTCTTTTCCTGGACAGTCATGCTGGGGTCGGGTAACAGTTCACCGCTGGCGCCTCGGGGCCATCCCCTGCTAATGCCTGGAAGTGTCTGTGTTTTGGGGACCTTTAAACAGATTCAAGTAGCAGCCCAGCTTTCCGCGCAGTCAAAACGTTGCTGCGTATGTGTGTGTGCGCGCTCGTGTGTGTGCATGCTGCATTTGGGTTGGTAGAAAGTGGGCACAGGGCAGGGTTTCTGAAATCCGGATATACTGCTCTGCCCCTAGGAGGTCTGGGGCTGGATATATGCTGTCCCTCAAAGGGAAGGAATTGAGTAACCATGCTCCACTTCATCTGTCCCTCCCAGATGGCAGAGGGCCCCGCTGATCACACCTCTCAGCGGCCCTGGGACTTAGGCAGAAGGAGCTGCATACGTGCTAATCTGGGATAGCCCACGAGGGCGGGGTGCTGACCAGGCTCGACTCTGACCCCTAGCCCGGTCTGCACATTCCACTTTTGCTGCCCGGGGGCCGTGGGAAACCTTGAGCCCCATTTCACGAGGATGATGCCAGGACGGTAGCAAGTTACCCCCTGGTCTTCTGAAGGAATGATGGCGACCCTGAAGCCATCAAGGCTGGCCTGAGCATATAAGATTTGGCAGATTTGGCTCAAAGGCCAGTGGTGTCACAGGTGAAAGGTCATGGCATGTGCCCCAGCCCTGTCAAAAAAGGACTGTTCTTCTCCTAAACTGGCTTCCTTGCCAGGAAGAGAAGTGAAGAGAGAGCCGTGCGGGAGGACACAGGTCAGCATGGGCAGGGGCCTGACCACAGTGACGCAGACATGAGCCGTTCCTTCATCAGTGAGAGTTCAAACACAGCTAGATGAAGAAAAGACTGTTTTTATGAGCCCCCTCAGGTTTTTAAAAGTGTAGAGTTTTAAAATGTAAAGCTGTTTTTAAAAATTGCCTTAATTGCCTTTGAACTCATTGATTTCAAGCAATTACAGTGATTTTTTTCTTAATTCATTTTTTATTTTGAGCCTCGATTAGCGTTTCTCTTGGCACCAGGGCAGTCTTTGTGCAGGTAATCGGTGAGCAAGGTCATTCACGAGTTAGGCTCTGTTGCATGGGAGTATTTAGCTTCCAGGAAGAACAGAGTGCGGATCAGAGAGTTTTTCTGTGCTCCAGGCTTGTGCGCTGACATGCGCGTTACTGACGCTGGTTGGGGATCACCAACCCTGGGGAGTCTTCACAGATTCCTCTGCAGCCCGCACCTGGGCAGGGGTCTGACCCCTCCTCTGGACAGTGAGGGGCGTAGCACAGGGCGTGGGCTGTATCTTAACTCCATCTTGTATCCATAGGGCTAGACTTGGTGCCCATTGACAGAATGGCCTATTGCAGGCGACTGTTTCCGTACCTTTTCTAGCCCAGTTAATAACCGGTCATTAACACGCAGGGCATTTGGTGTGCCTATAACCACTTTTAACTGTCCGTGGTGGTTCCTCTCAACCAACTGGTCAGCTCTGCCTGTCTTGCTGTGTTTGGGCTGCAGGCATACACCCTTGGCGTGGAAGTCTCAAACTCACGTGCCTGCGAGGGCCGGGAGGCACACACGGTACATGGTGCCGCGTGTGAGATGACAGGGAATGGTGGGGACCGTGAGAACAGAAGGGCACAGGCCCCGTACGAAAGGGGCCACTGGAGGCAAAACCTGTCTCGGGGACAGGAGACAGAATCGTGGTCACCCTGGGATGTAATGACGAGGGCACAAGGTGTGCTTCTGGAGTGCTGGAAATTTCCGTATCTCGATCTGCATATCTACAGCAGCAGTGACTAATCATTTGTGCAGGAGAGTCAATTCAGAAAAACTGGAGCATTTATGGGCCATATTTATTTCGGTTCAATATGAAAATAGCTCCATCGAATCCCCTAGGGCAGAAAATACATATTCTTACCACCTTTATTGACCAGAAGGGTGCTGGTGAGGAACTCGGCATATTTAAGAAGGAGCTACACGGAGACCGCTTTCTCGTCTTCCACTGTGAAATTTAATCTGGGTCTGTCACGGGGAAGGGGGCAGGCCTCCGCTGCTCCTTGCTGGTCTCTATATTTGGGCCTCAGCATCTATGCCCTGGAGGGACTATCTCGCATCGGCAGCGAGAGTTCATGTGGCTCAATGTTTTGCCAAGGGGCATGGGAATAGCAGACCTCATCCAGCTGTGTCACTCAGGGTGACTGCAAACCTGTTCCCTTCCTAATTTTTGGAAGGCAGCTTGGCAGCAGGCAGAGCTGGGATCGAACACCAGCGTGGCCACTCTTGAGCTCCGAAGACTTTGTCCGGCATGCAGCCTCGCCCAGGCCTTAGTTGTCTCATCTGTTAAGTGGGAATAATTTCCAGTGCTCCTGTAGGCTTGCTGTCAACGTGAATAAGGAGAAAATGGTACACACGCAAGCCTTTTGTGCAGTGCCTGGCTCACAGGACACATGCAAAATGCAGTAGCTCTCAAGATCATCCCTTTTGTTTTAGTCATGGGTGAGGCACATTGTAGTCTAGGAATTTTGAGAGCTTGATGATTTGGAAGCTCATAAATTGAATTTTGCCCAAAGGTGCGCACGCGTGTGTGTGTCGGTGTGTATGTGTGTGCACGTGTGTGGCTGTGAGTTTTAATTTTAAATTAGTTACTGATGACATTAGAACGGCAGCATTTTTGCATACAAATCTAGATTTCTGGCACCTCTGGCTGGACCTGGCACTGGCGGGTCTGTGTTCCCAACCGGCAGTTCTTGGTTGGGCGCCGAGTTGTAGCCGCTCCTTTTATTTACTTACATTTTTATTTTCAAAATCCTTGGAGGATTACGTGCATACGAGAGAAACAGAGCTGGAGTAGAAGTGGTGAGCTTGTGCGTCCACCTATGTG